CATAACATTGTTTTTGAAGAAGAAAAACAGGGAAAATGCGATATCTTTCCCTCATATATGATTTTGCTCAAACAATATTTGCTTATGTTCTATATTCTTTCCGAGTTTTTATTTGACTCGTTTTCCTAATTTCTGTTTAAGTTGAAAGTTTATTTATAGCTGAAATGCGTGCTATTTAGTTGGATGGGGAAATGATGATGAATTGTTGTTTTTCGTATTTTGAAGTATCACTCTTCTGACCCTTTTTGTGCGAACTTGCGATTACGAGTTTAAGAAAATCATGCATATAATTCTCATGTCGTGTATATGTTTGTGGTTTTTGTATTTTATGCCAGTAATGGATCTCGAGGCTTTATGAATGCATTGTGTTCGAGTTCTATTTGTAGTGTTGTTGAGTTCTTCCAGCTTTTAGGTGTTTAGAGAATGTTTTTTCTTATTGCAATTTTGTTTGTTAAACAGCGGATTACTATATGTTTTTGGGGATTGAGAAGGGCGTTGTTCTTCAAGAAGCTAGAGTTTTCAATGACAGCTTGATCCTCGAAGATGCTCTCAGGTTATCACAAAGCTTCTTTATCTACTGAACCAAGGAGAAGCATTCACTAAGGTTGGTCTTTCTTTTCTAATTGTACATGAAAGGATCAAATCCTTTTTTTTCTGTGTTGAATTACAATTAACCTATATTGTATGTATTTCTTCTGTAGTTGTGTATAATGAAGGAAATAAGCTCTACCATAATGTGAATGACGATTTTCTTTTTTATTTATATCGATAGGTTGAAGTGATAGAGGTTTCTTTGTTGTGACAAAGCTGTTTCAAAAAGATATAGGTTTATGGTTTATGTGATGATAAAGGAGTTATCTCCATCAACAGATGAGGTTATATGTCTTGAATTTTCCATGCTCGTTGAATAACTTTTTGTGTGTTTGTGCATGCATGTTTGCTTATTTTGATACTAATTAATCCTTCCTCTTGATGATAATAGGTTATTATTGTTACAAGCTCTCTCATGAAGGACATGACTAGCAAGACTGATATGTATCGAGCAAATGCTATTCGTGTACTTTTTCGGATAACAGATGGAACTCTTCTAACCCAGATCGAACGATACTTGAAACAAGAAATTGTTGACAAAAACCCAGTTGTTGCAAGTGCAGCCTTAGTCAGCGGTATCCACTTACTATAGGTAACAGTTTTCTTAGGGTTGCTTTACACACAAATATGTTCGTGTAGTTTTTAAATTAATATCAAAACATTTTTCATTTATTAACATGTCAAAAACATTTGGGCAGACAAACCCTGAGTTTGTTAAAAGATAGAGTAATGAGGTTCAAGAAGTTGTTCAATCAAGAGCAGCCCTTGTGCAGTTTCATGCTCTAGCATTGCTCCACCATGTATTGTTTCTTCAGATAAAATTTAGCACATTGTCATTTTCTTTTTACTGGATTTTAACACACTTGAGAAGCTGAAGGTTGTTGGATCCAAATGCTTGATTCGGGAGTTTCAAGATTCAATCACGAAGATCCATTGGAAAGCACCTTGTTTCAGTGGTGACGGTGTGTGGGTAATAGTTGTTTCTTCTATCAAAGGAGAGCATAAGATGTACATATGGGACAAGGCTGGCCATCTTGTAAAAATCCTTGAAGGTCCAAAGGAAGTTGTGTATATAATATAGCCAACATATATGATTAAGTTTAGAATGTCATGGTCATTATCTTTTGTAAGTCTGAACATTGTTGTTGCTTTTTATGGTTAATGTATACTTCTTTTTGTTCTGTAAGCTAAACAAAGAATGTAAGCTTATCTCTTATCTTTCAGTTTGCACTTTTTCTTTTCGTTCTACTGTTGCATGTTGCCTGCTAGTGTTATCTATCAGTCTATCTGAAATTGCTAAAATAATTTATTGCTTCCCAGTGTTTCTCATAAATGTTGCATCGTAATGGGTATCAAGAATACCACATGTTTTGTATTCTGTTTATTATTGTATGCAAAATAAAATGAATCTGTTGTGTTAAAATAAAAAGGGTCTTGCAAAGTCAATAGGCTGTTGTTGAAATAAAATGAATTTGTTTTGTATGTTGGTTTGTTCTCATTTACAGAGAAAATGTTTAAATTATAAAAACGAAAAATGTGCTAACATTTAATAAAGCATAAAAAATTATAAGAATCAACAAGTTTATTTTTCTAATACAAATATGATAAATAAAGTTTACTTGACTAATGCAAATAATTGCAAGATAGAATTGCAGAATTTAAATATAACATATACACACACTATCATTTAGAGAGAATTCAGTAAAATAAGTGAGCATCATCTTGCATTTTGGCAGGAGTAAAATGGTTCATCTATTAAAAATTTCATATGTTTATTTAGTTAAATGTTGATGTAAAATTTTAATATATTTTTAGATAAATAATGTAAAAAATAATACTATTTATAATTAAATTAATACATAATATATTTACTCTTTTATTTTACCCATTTATCTTTTAAATTTTATAAAAAATGTATATATAAATTTTATTAAAAATATATAAATTTAAAATAATAAAGTAATATATTTTTGATGATTTTTTATATAAATATTTTCATTTAAATATTTAGAATTTCACTTGTTAACACATATAGAACATGGACAATTTGGTAAAATATACGTTCCAGTAATCTCATATTCATTCAACCAAATACTGTAATCATACATTCCTGCCAAACATACCAAACACAGTAATATAACATTCCCAATAATGTATCAGGTAATGTTCCGGTAATCTCATTCCCGGAGGTAATGCTACATTCCATGAACCAAACGCACCCTAAGTACATTAAAGTCTTATATTGTTTTTTTATTATATAAATAACAACATATAAATATTCATATTATTAATAATTTAATTTAAAAATCTAAAAGTTTAATATATTATTCATTCGAGTTCCTCACGAGTTTTTCGAGTCGGATATCAAGCAGCTCGTTTTGACTCGTTAAGAATTTGAATTCGAACTCGAGTCGAGTTCATTCGATTTAAGGTTTGACTAAACTTTGATCGAACCAATCTCAAGTAGCTTGTGATATGTTTCGTCTCATTTACGGTCCTAATCATGCCTCATCACCGTATATAAACCATTACCACCATTAGGGGTGTTCAAAGTAAACCATAATTAAATCACTACATTTTACAAGTTAATTAACTAAACCATTAAGGATAAACGGTTTTGATTAACTTAACCGTTAAAAATGTAGGTTAACAGTTACGATAATGGTTACAAATTTTGATAAATGGTTAACCATCAGCTATCTGTTAATAAATAAATAAGTTAATTATATTTTTTAGAGAATAAAATTTGAAATAAAATCAAAATGGTTCTCCCTACTTTTTTTAGTTATTATGTTTATCTTATATTAGAACACATTAAATCAAATTCTGATGAAAGAAATACATGATTTTAAACTGAAAAATGAATATACCTTATAATATATATATTTATATAAAACTAATATGTGTATCAAACAAATAACATTTCTAAAAATATATATGTTTCTATCATAGTAAATTTTTATGAAACTTTGAAACTTTTATGTTGTGTTGTATTTGAAAAATGTGTAATAGGTTAACCGCATATTAACCTGTAACCAAACCGTTAATAATAATTAATCATTAACGATTAGTCTTTTCATAATAGTAAGATTGCGATTAACAAAATTTAATAACCGTTATAACAATTAATCAACTGTGTAAGTTAAATGGTACCGTTAACTGACCACGAACACCGCTAACCACCATGATCTAAAAGGAAAGCCCAAAAGTAACACTTGGATTCATACATATAAAGGCTAAAAGGAAAGCTTAATTTGGGTAGCCCAACGATGATGATAATAATAATAATAATAATAATAATAATAATAATAATAATAATAATAATAATATGGAATTAGGCCGTGGAATAAAATAATCCAAAGTTGTCTCATGTGTTCACGTCACTACTTCTCGAGCTAATCCACGTGGTTTCTTTTTATATGCTCCTTTACTTGTGGGTCCCACCAGACATCCACTTGTCTTCTAATTCCTTCCAAAATAAAATATCTTCACCAACATTTTCAATTTCCCTTTAAAAATATAAAATAAATATAGGTATAATATCATTTTAGTACATAAATATGCTGGAATTTCATGTTTAAGTTTATACTTTAATTTCAAATAATTTGGTCCTTACTATTTTATGATATTATCGATAGATCCAAATTAATAACATATTTAATTGTTGTATTTGAAGTGATAACGTGATTGTTTTACAATTATTCAATTACAAATTAAGAGTTACATGAAAATTTAATTAATTATGTTTAATCATAAAATAAATTTACATGTCAAATAAATATTAAGATCATTTTTAAATTAATCCCACGTTATCATTTCAATTGCAGTAGCTATTCATATTATTAATTTGGAAATACTAAAAATATAATGAAAATAGAGAAATAAATAACTTCAAATTAAAATTACATTTAAATCTTAAATTTCAGCATTATAAAGGGACTAAAATAAAAATTAAACCTAAATATTACTATTGAATATTGGCTTATATTATAAACAAGTATATAAAGTATACTGTTTTTTCATTTATGTTTTTAAAGTATTTTTTTGGGTCAAAATTAGTATTTAATTTTTTTTATCAAAATAGATATTTAAAATATTTTTTGTCAATATAAATACATAAAGTATTCAAGTTTTTTGATTTAAGTTCTAAAAAAATTGACACATTACATTAATTAAAGAGTACTTAAGGTACTTAGATGAAAAAAATAAAATACTTTAAGTATCAATTTTGATCAAAAACTACTTTACGTACTTATTTTGACCGAATAAATAAGTTAAGATAAATATATTGACCAAAAATACTTTACGTACTTAAATGAAAAATATGATATATTTTATGTATTTATTTATTATAGTAACCTTAATAATTTGAATCAGATTTATTTTCTCTCTCTATCTTTTCTTCCTTATTGATAAAGTTAAATCTGGACCGCGAACTAAGCTATTTTCTCTTCTTGTTTGTTGCCGCCCTCAGCGTTCCCTCCCTCTATCTCTCTCTCATAAACAATAAAAAACCCTAACCCAAATCTTCCGCGCTTATTTAAATTTTAACTCCATCATTAATTTCTCCCCCCAACTTTTCACGAATCTTAGAACCGCGAGATTTGAAATCTGGTTTTTCAATCGTCACGCATTGTTTATTCGTCAATTTGCCATAGAATTCTATGTGATTTGGATTCAATATCTGTATATTTCCTTTGATTTTTTCGCTCTGTGTAGGTGGTTTTATCTTTATCTTTTTTACTATTTAATTTTGGTTAAATTTCGGTTTGGCGAAGTTTTATTTCAAACTTAAATAACGGTTGAGCGGTTATTGGGTTTCTTTTTCTTTTTTGAATTGTTTGTTTGTTGAATTGAATTTTTCTTTCTGTTTGTTTTGCAATTAGGTTTTTATATTCCCACATATTGTGAAGATAAATTCATGTTTTAAATTCGAATTTGGAATAGCGTTTCAGTATATGAACTGTGAAATATTAAGGTTCGTTCCTTTCTTCGGGTTTCCTCTTATGAATGCTGTCATTATCAGAAATTTGGGAACAAACTGTTGTTGAATGGAGGAGGAAGCAGTCTGTTTGGAAATCTCAGCAGAGGAGGTTACGGAGAATGTAAATGCGATGAATTCTGAATTGAAGCGAGACCGTGAATGCCTTGATCCGGAACCAAAATCTGAATTGGAGTCATATCCTAACAAGAAACAAGCGAAAGAAGTTTCCAATGAGGATATTCGATCAGAGGTTTCAAACCCAATTGTGTCTCCCAAAGAAAACATGTCTTGTTTCAATGACACAAGCAGTAGAAACCAGGCTGGTAGCGGTGAGGTTACTTCTGTTTGTTCCCGGAATTCAAGCTTTAATGAGAGTCTCAGTGATAGTTCTCAAATGGGTGATACATCCAATGCTATGTCGAGTTCCCATGTTACATTGGAAATTCCGAAACACTTGAGTTCATCAGGGATTAGGAAAATTACTTTTAAGTTCAGCAAAAGGAAGGAGGACTATGATAATGAAACTTTGTATTCAGTTGGCGGTGAATGTATGAATATGGAAGATATTTATGGGAATGGTTCATTTGAATGGAGTGGTCGATATCCTTGTGCTCCCAATTTGGAAATGAAAATGTCTAAGAAGGTTGTTCCGAGTAACTACCCTACAAATGTTAAGAAGTTGTTAGGGACTGGCATTCTTGATGGAGCCCGAGTGAAGTATATTTCTATCTCAATGGAGGTAAATTGGTTTTTCTCTATCTAAGGTTAATTTTGTTTTTGTTAATGTTGACGTGTTTATTAAAGTTATTACAATTTTTTTTTCATGGTTGTTAGAGAGTACTGGATGGGATTATTCATGCGTGTGGATATCTGTGTGGATGCTCATTTTGTAATTTCTCCAAAGTAAGTAATTCAACTGCTCCAGTTATTACTATTAATTTTTCTGTCAGTGCTTAGTTCTTAGGATGTATTATGTTAGCTGAAGGTTGTCTTGGGTATGAGTAGGTGCTAAGTGCCTATGAGTTTGAACAGCATGCTGGTGCCAAAACTAGGCATCCAAATAATCACATATACTTGGAGAATGGGAAGCCAATATATAGTATTATTCAAGAACTAAAGACTGCTCCACACAGCATTCTGGATGCAGTTATAAAAGATGTAGCTGGTACATCCATAAACGAGGATTCCTTTCAGGATTGGAAAGGTAATTTCTGTTTTAATGCTTTGATTAGGTTTATGTTGGTTGTCTGTAGATCATGTACCATCTGTTATTGGGCCCTTTTGAGTTTTTAATAGATTTATAAAATTTTTGGTCTCAATATACAGCTGATTTGATACGTGGTCAAATTCTTTTGAAACTAAGAAAAAACAAAAAAGATGAGAATTCAGTAAGGGGACTGCCATTTTGCTTGAGGTTACTTCCCTTGTTATAGAAAAATGTATTTGGGGTCTCAGGATTTCATATCTAATTATTCAAATGGAACAAAAAAATCATTAAGAGATATCTAGGACCAGATTTCTACGTGTATTTGTTAGCTCGATAATTACCAGAAGTGAGTTGAATTAGCGTTTTAAAGTTTTTGGCTACATCGATGAGAAGGGTGGAAAAATGAACATGAATTATTTATAGTGGTTCAACACTTTGAATGTCTACCTCACTACCTCAGCCTTCCACCACTAAGGATTTTTCCAATTCACTAACTTGATTTGAATGTTTCAAGGAAAAGGTTTAACCTTTTTGTACAAAGAAGCCGATTATGACGCTTTTCTGCCGGTTTTAATTTTAAGTGTTATTAGGAGTTGTTTTCTTTTCTGCTGTTTTTTTAGGATAAGTTTTATTTTAATTAGAATTCTCTTTCTTAGGAGATAATATAAGAGTCTTAGGAAACAAGAAACCTAAGGCTATTGTCTTCCAATGGTTCGATCCTTTTGTTCTTGGACCCTACAATACTCAATTTCAATGTATCAAATATTTTTATTTGTTCCATTGAGTATGTTCATGTTAGAAACTCATTTGAAAGATTATGGAAATCATTTTGTTCAAACTCAAAAAAAAATTATTGAAGGATCATTTTAGAACATTTTTTTGAGCATGTGTAACACTTGAAAAGATGTTTTAAAGATAAGTTCAACAAGATGACCTAGAAATAGAATTTCGTTTTTCAAGTACTTTGAAAAATGCTTTTAATCAACTCAAAAACATTTAGAAACATGTAAACCAATTTAGAACACATGTTTTTGAGATTTTAAACGCTTTGAAAATGTTTTGCAAGATTTTCAATAATAATATGACAAAATATAATTTCATCTTTCAAGAACATTTAGAAATCAACTCAAAATCAATTGAATCATATAGAAACAACTCAGAATGCATGTTTTTGAGGTTTTAGATACTTTGAAAATGTTTGATAAAATCTTTAGTAGTATTCTCATTGAATAACTTAGGAATATATATAATTTATTTTGAACGATGTTATGATAAAATCTTATAAAATCAAAGGTTTTGTAATATATTAGTTGCAATACTATCAATCTTTTTCAAGAAAAACCTTATTTTGTACCTTGCCAGTATAGGGCCACATTTTAATTTTTCTATTTGATGTTTTAACATGCTGTTATATTCTGCAGCTAGTATTCAGCAAAGTAACTTAAATGTTCAAGCAGAGAAGATATATAACATGAAACCTTCTAGTTTGCCTAGTTCTATAAGGTAAATATGAAATTCTGGTGATTTCCATTTCTATAATCTTTGCATGTTTCAACTGTTAATTTTTCTATAGTGTCCTTGTCTGATGGATGTTTTTATTGAATTATCTGGGCTTTCAATTTGGATAAGGATTCTACGCTGATGGTTTTATCTGGATGCTTAGTAGAGTTGAATTTGGATGTCATGTTTACTTTTTAATTTTAGTTCTCATAGGAGTTGTTGGAGGGAAGCTTATTAGACTAATTTCCAATATTGCATGATGATGAAGAATTCCTAAAGAGGGCTATTACTAGCACTGTTCTTTTTTTTTTACGCACACTTCACTGATATTCTACCTTTAGTAGGTTGAACTCAGTCATGAAACGAAAGAAAACTGACGGTGGCATGAAGAAAAGGTATGGTATTGAATATATTGTGCTCCCTCTCTTTGCAAATCTTAGATCTGCCTGATTTAAGCTGGAATTTCTTTAAATTGTTGGCAGGGATAATGATTTACACCGGTTACTTTTTAAGCCAAATGGACTTCCAGATGGAGCGGAATTGGCCTACTTTATCAAAGGACAGGTGCTATATTTTATTGGATACAATACGGTTGATTAGCAACAATTTATTCCTATTAGTGGTGCTAACCAGACCTCTAAATGTGTTTTTCAGAAGTTACTGGAGGGCTACAAGCAGGGAAATGGTATAGTATGTTGCTGTTGTGAGAGAGAGGTGAATTTCTAATTCATTAACAATGTTATGCTAGATTACCTCTCTCATTAATGATTTTTGTTATTTATTCATTTATTTGGTGTGAGCAGCTCAGCCCTTCACAGTTTGAAGCACATGCTGGAATGGCCGCCAGAAGACAGCCGTAAGTGGTATTTACCAAATTTAATCTTTTCTAGAATGTTATGAGTCCTATATCAAGTTTCTTTCTTTACACAGGTATCGGCACATCTATACATCTAATGGATTGACGCTTCATGATATAGCATTGTCATTAGCAAATGGGCAGTGTGTTACAACCGGTTCCAGTGATGATACGTGTGCAGTGTGTGGAGATGCTGGAGATCTGCTTCTTTGTTCTGAATGCCCCCAGGCTTTTCATCCAGGTCTGTAATTTATTCTATTTTTAGCTGTTTTGTTTATTTTCTTGTTTAGATAGGTCCTTTATTTATTGTTGGTGTTGTAAAAATTCGATTGAGTGGCCGGCATCAAATGATCTTCATGTGACAATTCATTAACTAGACATAGCATGCGGGTCAGCTTTTGGAGCTCTAGTTACGTTTATGCTTTCATGCCAATGATAATCATGACTGTCTTTGTACAAATTATTTTTAAAAGATAAATGACAGATGTGGATCTCTTAACCTGTTATCATTTTGCATCATCTTAGTTGTAAAAATACGTTTGGTATTGTTATTTTTACCGGATTTTCTATATGTTGTAAAGTTTTCTTTCATCATTAATACTATTGAAATTTTTATTGCAGCTTGTTTGAATCTAGAGCACCTTCCTGAAGGTGAATGGCATTGTGCAAATTGTGCAGATGAACATGGTTCTGGTAGAAAAGCTGTTTCTGGAGAAGCTTCAAGTACAGCAAGACCAATTGTGATACGATTAACAAGAGTTGTTAAAGCACCAGAATCTGAAATTGGTGGTTGTGTTGTTTGCAGGTTGGTACCAATATATTTTAAATGAGCTTGAATGTGTGACTAAATCTATTCATGGCTCCATCAAATATGAGTCAATAATCTCTATATAGTTTCTTAGTTGGATATTTTTTTTTGTTGCTTCTGATTTTTGTATCTTTTTTCTTCCATTTTATTTTTTGGTTTTCGACATGTTTAGTGGTTTAAGATTTAGTTTTTATATGTTACTAATTTTGTGTTATGAGATTTTTTTTTCAGGGGACATGACTTTAGTGGCTCTACATTTGATGATCGAACAGTTATTCTCTGTGACCAAGTAAGTGTTGTTTCCTCATCCTATTTCTATCCAAGCAAGCATATTTTTGGTGTAATATTTATTTTTATTTTTTTCTTAGTGCGAGAAGGAGTTCCATGTCGGTTGCTTGCGGGATAGTGGACTATGTGATTTGAGAGTAAGTCTGAAATGCTCTGGCAGATTAATTGTTAACATATACATGCTAGTTGAAGTGTTTACCTTTGTTTTTCATCCATTCTACAGGAAATACCCGAGGATAAATGGTTCTGTTGTGATGACTGCAGCAGAATTCATGGGGCTCTGCAGAGTTATGTTTCCAGTGGGGTGCAGATAATTCATACTTCATTTGAAAATATAATCAAAAGAAAGTATTTAGAAAAAGGATTATTAATTGATGGAGCCACAGATTGTGTTCAATGGCGAATGCTGAGTGGAAAAAGCCGTTATCCTGAACATCTTCCATTACTTTCAAGTGCTGCCGCAATATTTCGAGTAATCATTTCCTGATATGAAACTATTATTTTTAGTGTATTAACGTAGTTGCTCAAGATATATATACTTTTTTGTCACTTGGTCTTTTTGTTAGGACATATGTGACTTTTAACCTAGTTTTTTCAGTCATGCCGAGAGTTGAAACATTATATAAAAGGAACTTGTTCTTTGAGTGAATGCAGATGAGCATACACAGACATTTTAAGACTGCTATTTGCATATACTACATTTCAGCTATAGTTTTAATCAAGACAGTTGAAACATTCTTTAGCAAACAATCATTATTAGGTTAGGGTGGAAGTCATTGGTCTTACAGAGTACGATCACATGTATTTTTATATTTGGGAACATGTTACCGATTGCTGATTGATAGCGTTATTAAGATCCAGAAGATGAAATATTCTTCTCAAATCAAATTCATGAAAATCCGTCCATGAAAATTATTAAAATTGCATTTGAGGTGAAGACAGGATTTCAAAGTAAAGTGATTTCCTCACTGGATTTGATTACATTTGAAGTATTTTCTATTTCAGTGGGATTTTTTTGAATTTTCTTATGTATATATACTTGCTGCCTTCAGACTGTTGATCATCATGCAGATATTTTATTACTCAAGTTGTATATAAAAACTGCCTGTCTGCTCAAATCATTTGAACTTTTTGACAGGAATGTTTTGATCCCATTGTAGCAAAATCTGGTCGTGATTTGATTCCTGTCATGGTCTACGGGTATGTACTTGTTCTTACCCCGGCATCTTTCCTTTTTGCCTTGAAAAACTTGAACTATCTTTATGGTCAGGAAAAGATGTTCTCGAGAAAAATTGTACATTAATGTTGTTAATATGACATCTTATCACAATTTTTGCAGCTTAACTATATTTTACTGATATTGTTAAGACAATTAATTTTACTAGTGTTCTGGTTTGTTTTGATCTGATGGTTAGTGTTTGAACTTCTTTTAGGAGAAATATATCCGGACAAGAGTTTGGTGGGATGTATTGTGTGGTTTTACTTGTGAGGTATAGTGCTTTCTCTCTCTCTCTTTTTATTCTTTCGTGTGCGGTTCCTTGGTGTTCTTGTCTTGTTGATTATTTATGTATGAATTTATTCATGATGCACATGTGCAGGTCTGTTGTTGTATCTGCTGGTCTTCTTAGAATATTCGGTCGGGAGGTTGCCGAGCTGCCTATCGTAGCTACAAGTAGAAAACATCAAGGAAAAGTAAGTTCGGCATTGCTGTCAACTTTAATCCTTCTCTTTTAATCTGTCTGAAATGCAACCAATGCTATCTTCTCCTTATTGCAAAATTTTGCCGCCTTGAAATGCTTTTAAGATAAACCCCTTGGGCCCTAACTCTGTTACACTGTCATGTATTGCTTTCGTTGCTAGTTTTCCAATCTGTTCAAAACCTGACGGATATACTAATGCAAAAACAAACTAACTGATCATAATTTGCCTATTTGGTTTTGTTCTAGGGATATTTCCAGGCACTATTTGCTTGTATTGAGAGTTTACTGAGTTCCCTGAATGTTGAAAACCTGGTGCTCCCAGCTGCGGACGAAGCTTTGTCAATTTGGACAAAAAAGTTTGGCTTTGCTAAGATGAGTGAGCAGCAAGTAAGTGCAGTCTTAATCTTTTATTTTGACACAAGAAATTATTTTGATCTAAATCTGTAACTCTGATCTGAACCTGAAAACCCAATTCGGTTAACCTGTCCGATCTAAACTTGAATTGACCCAGAACCAAAACAATTGGAACCCAAAGTAACCTGCACCCAAAACAACTTGAATCCGGAATGAGCCGAACAAACAGTCTGGAATGATTCGAACACATGATGACTTGACCCAGTCTCAAGCTTGAAGTTTACCTACATCTGAAATGATTTGAACTAGCAACAGACCCAAATCAAAATTATTAAGAATCCAAAACAGCTCCATAAGTCAAAATTATATGAAAATTTTAAAATACGAATTGACTCGCTTTCAAACCGATCCAACTTTTCCAATTAGCATGTCTATTTTGATCTGTTTATACCAAATACTAAACAAGAGAGTTATGCTACTGTGAACTTTGTTTAATGTTCAGTTGTCCAAGTATCAAAAGGAGCTTCAGTTGACGATCTTTAAGGGAACGGTGATGTTGGAGAAGAAGGTAGAGCTGTTATCTGAGTAGTGCCGATCATCTTCCTTGCGAGAGTTCATCAAAATACCGGGATTTGGCATATTAACATTAGGTCTAATTTGTGGTGTTGGTCTTAATTTTTTTTTTGCTCCAGTTTTTGTTTTCATCCACCATAAATGGTTTTGTTTTTTGTACAAAACTATAACTAAACAATGAAAGGATGTAAAGACTTAGAAAGAAGAGTGAATCAAACATGCATTGCATGCAGCAAACACATTTTGCTCTTTTTTCAGCTTTGTTTTTAACCCTTTAGAATGATGGGGGGAAAAGTCATAGTTATGTTTCCACGTTTCGTTCAAGTTCAAGAAAAAAATTATTACCAGAGAATAATTTATTATCAATAGTAGTATTTTTCAATTAAAATGATGGGAGATGCAAATATTATTACCTTCAAATTTCTAGGTAATAAATAATTCTCGCTACCAAATTCACCGGAAGTAATGGATTTTTTTCATATAGATCATTCTCAATTATCATTCTTCGTGATTTACTTAAAATTATAAACTTAATAGTAATAATAATAATATACAAAGAGTTTGATTTAGTAAAATTTTAATAAATTTGAGGAGTTAAAATTATTTGATTTTTTAATATTTAATATATTAATCATTTTATAATTTTATGAGGTGAAAAATATTATTATTGTATAAAATGTAATTATTTAAATTAATATTTAATTTTAAGTTATTAAAAAATAGATCTTATACATTAAAAAATAATATATTTGTCAACTTAAGATTACAATTTTTAATATTTTATTCTATATGATATTATATTTTATATAAATATATATTATACTTATGAAAATTATTTAAAAATATATGTTTAACATACTTATTAAATTTTTTCCCGAGATACAAGGGAAGGCGGAAGCCTAATATTTCATGAACTTAATGTAGGAAGGACCAAATTGGTATCTTGAAACTAGCGGCAAGATGTATCACAAGGATAATTTGGTATAATATATATCTAAATAATTTTATATTCTTTCAATCAAACACTATAATCTTACATTCTTATTAAATAATTCAAACAATATAATACAATATTCTCAGAATAAAGTTACATTTTAATAATCTTATTTTCAAGGATAAACTTTTACATTCCGTGAACTAAACGTTCTTAAAAATTTCACATTATATATTTAAACATAAAAAATAAATTTTTTGTATATGAAAATATAATATTAAATAAATAAAATCTGATAAATATTAAATTACACATGATATTTATATCGGATTACAATTTAATAATAGTTGTTCAAATCAGTAGCAAAATAATATTAATATTTAGCCGTCGTTTCAACATCTAAAACCCTTAACCCTAATAGAGGTCCGTTGCTTGTCTTTCCAAACATCGTCTGCTCCACCTCTTATTTGCCTCCGTTCCGATGGCTTTAATTTCCCGATTCCGCCGCGTCTTCACCGAACCCTCCCCACTGTGCTCTCAGTTCTCTTCGATTCGTCTGAATTCGACTCTCACTTCCCCCAAGCTTTTCATTAGCGGTATTCTCTAATTTCCTTTACCTTTCTTTTTTTAAGGTTTTTCCATATTAGTGATTAATTTCATTTCCATTTCTTAATTTTTTATTGACAGTATCTCTTGTGAATTGGGTCTTGAATAAAACAAGAAATTTAGATAACATTTGGGGGAAATTGATTTAACTTATCCTAAATAAATGCAATGCTTTAATAAGATTCAAAACTTGGAGAAATTTCTTCCTTTTTCTATTAAATTAAACATAAAGCATAAATTTATAGGATTTGGTTCCCTCCTTTACTTTTATGTCCACTACCATCCCAAACTAGTTTAATCACCAATTACTAGAACGACTTCAATCATTCATCAGTGGTGCTGCACGTTTAAATGATGATGATGATGATGATGATTAATGTATTGGAAAGAATGAATGAAAATGTATTTATTGGATGTCAACCCGAATTTATGGGGTTAATCAAGCTATAAAGTCATAAACTTTGTTATTCAAAACCCAATTGCCCTTTTTTGCTTCTTAGCTATTTAGTTATGCCATGAAGAATTTGGTATTTCCCTTGTCATTTGCTTGAATAGAGTTTTAGGTGAATAAGGATTAAGGAGTGAATTACCGTCCATGGTGTTGTCTCCACGTGCCTATTTCAAACAAAGGTTCTAATTTCCAGAACCTTCTATGGCGAGTTTAGTATCTTTAGTCCAACCTGAGAATGTAGCATTCGTGTTAGGATTAGTTGGATTGAGGTCGTATCTAGTGAAACCTAGTCTAAAATCTTTGGTGTGTCTAAGTTTATTGCCATTACATTTTGAGTTAATTTGGATTGGATTAGTTGGGTTAAGGCAGCATCTCATGGATGCGTGCTTGTGGTACCATGAAGTTCAATGCTATTATCCTATGATTGATTGGCATTAAAATGACAATTTTTCGGACGGATGGAAAGGATTTTGTGCCAAATTCTACATTAATAGTTGTAGGATTGTTACTGGCTTAGAGCAGCTTTCTTTCATACCGTGAGCTGTCTTTTTGTTTTATTGTTTTACGTTATGCTCAGGTTTCGAAGGGAAAATATATTAAGTATATCATACTGAACCTAGTCAAATTTTGGGTTAGATGAAGAATGAATGAATAGCATTGGGAATGGTGTCGCAGAAATATATGCATGTGATAAGATACAAATTCTCACATAAGTAGTTGAAAATGAAAGGTTGCATTATTAAGCATTAAGGTCCTTTTGTTCTCACATTTTTCCTTTTTCACTTAACCCGAGATAGTGTCTAGGTTCAGCCTATCTTGTTCTTTGAGAACTCGGGTGCCCCTTGTTTTATAAAGTAGAAGTGTAGAATACAGTATAATTAATAGAGAGAGCATTTGTTAGTACAAAACAAGAACTAAGAGAAAGTATGTGCCAGGTGCCCACTAGAGTTCCCCCTGGCACTTCAGTTTATTTCTAGAGTTTCAAAATCTCTTTTCCATTTACTGAAGTGTTTGGGGGAACTCCTGTTGCCATCTGAGTCAGTAATATTGCAGATGAGGAAAACATTGTGTGTTAGCTGATGGATATTCGTAATAACTTTTAACAATTCCGGTTAATCATAGTCTGCTGAAACTTTCTGAATCGTAATCACCCCTTTTCTTGGCATGTCGAACAGGTCTCTCAAGAGAAACAACCGATGAACAGTTCCAACAGGCATTTAACCCGTTTGGCCAGATTGTTGAAGGTTTAATTTAACTATTCTTGTTTTTCTTTCGTCTTTAGAATTAAGTTTTTATGTTACTTTCAAATTATGTTTCAGCCAAAGTCGTAAGAGATAGAGCCACTGGAAGGTCAAAAGGATTCGGTTTTGTTACATATGCATCCATCGAAGAAGCTGAGAAGGCTAGAGAAGAAATGAATGCCAAGTTCTTGCATGGATGGGTTATTTTCGTAGACCCTGCCAAACCAAGGGAATACAGAGCTACACCGAGATCAGATCCGGGCCTTCTGAAATTGGTTTCAGAACAAACAAAACTGTAGGATGGTGTGGGCATAATTAATTCAGCTTAAAATACATGGAGCCATTGTTGGGTTTATTTAAAAAAAGCTAAAAGTTTTTCATATATTACCTATAATTTTTGCAGAAGCTAGAAGGTGTTGAATCTATGATTTATTCTTCATGGGGAAACCTGTTAACTAATGTGTATTAAAACTCAGTTCATTTGTATTAGTGGACCTTTTATTGTAGTGTTAAAGCTCAATATTTCCAACCATTTCATTCTTTTCATAGTTTCAAATGCAATAATACATGTTTTTGCTCTGCGATGAGTTCTTTAATCAGTTTTTTATTTGTGTTTCCTTTTTGTGTTGGGTGTATTTGTTGCAAGATTGGATGTGCCTTATTTGTTCTTGTAGGGATGAAGGGAGGTGTCACCTGAGAACTTTTAACCATCTGTTTTAAAGATTATTGACGTCTAATTTATAATTTCTTAATAAAATGTTATTACAAATATGCAAATATATTTCAATTATATTCATATTGTTGATAATCATAGAAGTGTGAGAGGGAGAAGAATGTTCACTCGTGTATATTTATACAAGATGGAAATCTAAGGTATTTAGCTAAGTTGTCAAATAAATATTTAAATTTTAAATGATGTAAAATAAATATTTGCATATTTAAATTCTTAAAAATTGGTCACCAGTTATGCATAATTTAATTTGTAACACATGCATTAGTTATCACATAAACCAATAACTGATTGGTCTAGTAAGATAAAGTACTAAAAATTTTCAAGTAAGGTTTGGGTTCAAGTCTTAACATTGTGAATGGAGCAAACTGAGTTAGGAGGGTTGTCTTTATAATAATCCATGGTAGCACCTGATCTTAATTCAATCTCAATTATGGAACTACTCTTTTAATGACTTTATCCTAAATCTGGAGGATTTTATACATTTTCTTCGAATTAACAGTGCAATTTTTTAGACTAAAGCTCGCCTGTAATCTGAGACAAATAGATACAATTCGGTTGATTTTTTAATAAATTATTTCGATTTAGATTTTTTTAATAAATTATTTCGATTTTGATTTTTATATTAATTTTGTATTTTAATTTTTTTTGAGGGCGGCCAACATTGACTGGAGACAACAATCGAAGGTGACGAGTGACGGTCAATGACGTAAACTTTAATTAAATTCATAGATCAAATTTATATTTTATACTATAAAGTTTAATGTTAAATTAGTATTTTATGTAAAGTTTAAGGTTAAATTAATATTATGTTTAAAAATCAGAGATCAAGTTAGAATTTAACTATTTTTCTAACATATAATGTTATTAAACTAACGAGAATTAACAACTCAATAATTAAATAAGACGAACCGAAAACAAAAATGATTAAAATTGAATTTTTTAAAAACCAATGATGAAAATCAAACAAAAATATAAGGAAAACCACCTGTGTATACTCTTAGTGTACGTTTGGTTCACGGAATGTAAGATTAATATTTTATTTATATAAAATATAATATAATATAAAAAATATATAATATAATATAAAAATAATATTATGGTAATAAAATATTATTTTAAATAATTACATTTTTACAATAATACTATTTTTTATCCTATAAAATTATAAATAATAAAATATTGAATATTAAAAATATAAAATATTTTAAATTATCAAAATTATTAATATTTTAATAAATCAAATTCTTTGTAATTATTATTTTTATAATTTTGAGTAAAGTATAAAAAATAAGAATTTAGAAGTATCATTATAAAAAAAAATTCATTAGTCCAAGGATATTTTGTCCAAAGTGGTATGAATGTAAAATTATCTAAGAATTTGGAGGTAATGACATTCTCATCATTTTAATAAAAAAAATACTACTATTGAAAAAAGAGTATTCTCGATAATGTAAAATTTCGTGAACCAAAATGATAATACAATTCTAAAAAAAATATTCTCTTTAATAATGTAAGATTCGGCAACCAAACGCATCCTTTTACAGATTTCCACGGTTCTCTTTCCATCCTGACGTTTCATTGGTTGGTTTTGTTTCATGAGGGTTGGCAGCTAAGTTGCTTCTTCGCCGTCAATTAAATCCAATCCAACGGCTGTAAACCTCTAATCCTGTGAGTCAAATGTCTCTCATTTTTCTCACCATCAAATGAAATAAATTAAATTACTTATTTAATCATTCACTTATTATATGTTTTTCTATTTTAATCATTTAATTATTATTATTAAATTTATATTAAACGTTACATTTTAATTCTACATTGATCATTTAAAGTTATAAATTAATGGTGATATTGATATAATATTTCATTATTATTTTTAATATTAATGTGATTTTATCTTTTGATGATATCTTAATATTATCGTTAATTTTTAATGACAAATGACTAAAATATAACTTTAAATATAATTTGGAATAAAATAATAGTTAAGTGATAAAAAAATAGGGTAAAGTACACAAATAGTTCTCAACTATAGGATATTGTTTTGTCGAGTCCACTGACTATTAAAAGTTACAAAATGGTTGCTAGACTATAAAACAATGTTTTGTTGAGTCTCCTAACTATTAAAAATTACAAAATATTCATTCAACTATTCATATGTTCCAAAATCGTCATCTTTTTGTTAAAAAAATCGATGTTCGTTTGAACTAGATGTTAACATCCTGACTGAGATATTATAAAATTATATTTTAATGATGTCTATTAGCATTGTCGTTGTTTTCAAGTACTGATTCATCAACATAATATTTCATGCATTGACTTGGCGATATAATGTAAATAGAGATTTGATCAACAAAATACAATTCAAACGATTCTAGAATCAGATTTTATCCCATCACAGTTAACAAGTTAACGTTTATCTCAAACGACCATCAATTTTTAACAAAAAATTACGAGTTTGAAACATATAAATAGTCAAATGACTATTTTATAACTTTTAAGAAAATTTAACAAAATAATGTTATTATAATTATAAAAATTAATAAAATAATATATTATAGTTGACTTGCATTCGGTATAATTTATTATTAAAAAAACAAAAAAAACTATGTAATAGATAGATTGCGTAGTGTACTCTACAAATTACAACTCATCCCTCCCACAAAAGACGGAAGTATTTTATCGAGAAAAAAAACCTGTAAAGTTCGTTTACATTTCATTTTTTTTTTCTCCGTTTTTTCTCAAGTGATGGATGCTGGATCAAAGGTGAAGAAAGGATCCGGAGGAAGGAAAGGTGGCGGTCCAAAGAAGAAACCTGTTTCTCGGTCGGTGAAAGCCGGGTTACAGTTTCCGGTTGGTCGAATAGGTCGTTACCTGAAGAAAGGCCGTTATTCTCAGCGTGTAGGAACCGGTGCTCCCGTTTACCTCGCTGCTGTTCTCGAGTACCTTGCTGCTGAGGTTATTTCATTTTTAGCCTTTTTTGTTTTCCCTTATTTTTTATCTTACTACTTAAGGTTTGTTTGGTTAGTGAGAAAATGGGAAAAGTAAAATTAGGGAAGTTTACTGTTGAAGTTAAAACGGAAAATAAGTTAATTCGGCGTGATTACCTAGTTTGAAAGTTCTTTCTATCTTCCTTTGGTCTTAAAATGTGGAAACTTTGTTCTTCAAGTAGTAATTAAAAGTAATTAGTCTAGAAAGTATGTATTTAATGATGGTTCCATGAGAAATCTGAATTGAACTTGAGTTTTGGTTAATTGATTCATCTAGCCAATCCTAAGTAGACTTGTCAATTGACCCAATCCTGAAAAAAAATTGATTTGATTAATCCGAACTTGAATTTGATTTGATTTGAACCTATTCAATTTGAACTTGAAAAGACCTGAATTCAAATTGACTTGAACTTAAATGACTTGAATAAGTAATATGGAATAATTAAAATAATAACAAGCCTCGGGCATGAGTGATCAACTCCCAAAACAATCTGAAGTCGTCATAATTTGAACTTGAAATTGACTCGAAATCAATATGCTTTGAAAAGGTTAAAACTTAAAACCCAATTTGATCCGAAGTAGATTGATGAAACCTAAAACTAATCTGATTAGGTTTACTCATAAGAATTAGTGTTCAACATGTCTAGGATTTGAATCAAAGCATTTGCAGTCTTTCTTAAGAGATTGCATTGAACATTTGAGCTAGGGTTCAAGTTTAATTGATTCACAGTCACTCATAGGAGTTATCATTTAGCAAATCTAGGAGTTGAATCATAGCATTTGTAGTAGTTCCTCTATTCTCGTATTGTGAGCTGTTTTTACTACAAAAAAGCTAGAAATGATCTGCACTAAATTTGGGACTAGCCTTTTGCTGTTATCTTTTGAGGTTTCTTTTCTTGGTGTGAATTTAAAGGTTTCGATACTTTATATATGAAGAATGTTGTTAGAAATTGGGGATTTTTCTTTTGTGGTGTTGAAGGTTCTTGAGTTGGCCGGTAATGCTGCAAGGGACAACAAGAAGAATAGGATAATTCCAAGACATGTTCTTTTGGCGGTGAGGAATGATGAGGAACTTGGGAAATTGTTGGCTGGTGTGACTATTGCTCATGGTGGAGTTCTACCCAACATTAACCCGGTTCTTCTGCCAAAGAAAAATGAGAAGGTGCAGGCAGCCAAGGAGCCCAAGTCATCATCCAAGGCTACAAAGTCCCCAAAGAAGTCACCTAAGAAGGCTTAGTGTAAGTCTTAGTTGTGGCTTCATTTATTTCTTGTGTACTTAGCTTCCTGTGTGTACATTTGGTTTTAGAAAAATGTTTATGTCGGTACTGGTAGGAAATTACTGCGACTATAGTTCTAGTTGCCTGTGTTGTTTAGACCAGCTTTTGTTCAAAATGAATGAATTGAATTTGGATCATTTTAGTTGTTTTAATGGTATTAGTTGTATTTGTTATGTCGGCTATTATACAAGCATTTTCAGATTGTGGATGAGACTTGAATTTCAAGAGAGGATTAGTAGCAAGAAATGGTAGTTGAAAATTTTGAATTGCGGTTTGTTCCTTGAAAGAGTACAAAACTGTTGGAAGAAAAATTCATTAGACCTTTTATGCTGAAAATTTGATGACTGTTTGACGGCTGAGGTTGGTTTTTGATAACTCGAAATTTTTAGTAATTAGTAGATTGCTTTTAAGCTTGAGTAGAGTCCCTCAATTCTGTATGTTATATGTATATCACATGTGAAAAAAAAGATGAAGAAATATATATGTATTCTATATGGTTATAGAAAATTATTTAAATTGGAATCAAATAGTACCATAATATTATAAATATTTATAATTAAATTTAAATACAAACCCGAACAACTTGATTCGTCTCGACTCGAAAAAGTTTCAAAGGAAATTTGAGTTATAAAATAAGACTCCACAACTCGAATAAATCGAAATCTTTTAACTCGACTTGACTCAATCGAACGCTCACTCATACCTGTTACTCTTTTATAATTTTTCATAATAATAATGAAAAAATAATCTTATAATAAAAATACTATTTGTATTTTTTTTATCCTATAAAATTATTTTAATTATTTGACATTATATTATAAGGTCATTTTTAAAGAGCACTTGATAGGATTGTTAATAAGATGAGATACATCGTAAGCTACTCGAGTTTAATTCGATTAAAATTTGATTAATATTTGATTCGGATGAACTTTACTAGAGTTTTTAACAAATCAAAACGAGTTAATATATGAATTGAAAAGTTTGTGAGCAACTCGAAAAATAATATATTAAATTTTAATTTTTTAAAATTAAATTATTAATAATATTAACATTTATAGGTTGCTGGTTTTTTAAATATAATATAAGACTTTTATGTACTTAAGATTTAGGTTGAGTTCAAGTTTGAGCTTCAATCAAGTTAAGTTTGAGAATGTTTTGAGTTCAAGTTTTTTCAAACTCGACTCAAATTTCAATTTTTGATTTCAAGTTCGAATTAAACTTAACAATTTTAATCTCATAAGCTTTCAAATAGAATGGAACTCAACTTTAAATATTAAAACCAAATCAAATTCAATAATAATCAAACCAACCCGATTCTATTGCATCCCAGCAGCAGGCTGCATCGTCATTTTCAGGATAACAAAACCCAAACCCGTGACCTAAACGCTGCCGTTCAACCTGAGTAAGCCTTGTCGTTATTTGGCTTCTGTTGACGAATAAATTTAAAGAAAAAGAAAGACCGTTGCGGTCCACACATTTCCTCAAACGATATTCTTTCTCCTCAATTTTTCTTTTCCTCCTCTCACAACGGCCGACCGTTGGTGGCGTACCAGAGACGCTTCTGATCTCATTTCACCAGATCTCACTCTTCCTTCGCCTGTATTGCTTTCCTCTCGATTTACCAAAATAAATTTCAATTATTTTTATATTCATTTTTTTACATTGATTATTAACGACGAAGCTTTTCTTCTTCTAGGGTTTATTTGTTCTTTCTTCGTTTTTTTGTCTGTTCGACAAATTTATTCTATTTCTATGGCTGCTCCACCTGCAAGAGCTCGAGCCGATTACGACTATCTCATAAAGCTCCTTTTGATCGGCGATAGTGGTAAATTTTTTTTAAAATTTTCTCAGTATATATGAATATTGATTTGAAATGCCATCTAGTCCTTATTACATCGATTTTGAGAAATATTATGTTATTTATTTAGAAAGGCTTTTATTTTTGTTTTTCAAAAAGAAAACCTAGATGTGCGACCGTGATTTGGTTTTGAAGATCATACCTTAGATTAAGCTTCATTTTAGGTTTATGATATGCATTAATTTATAAGTGGTTAAATCCATGCTATTGACTTTTTAGGTTGCGTTTCTTGATTTATCTGTCTCGATAGCGTGAATATCTTCTGTCTCGATTACTTTTACGGATGATGAATATCCTGGAGTCAGAATGTACATTTGCATGAGGTGGTGTTTTTTTAGTTCGTAGGATGGCCTGCTACAAATAGTTGTATTTGCCTATAATTGGGGATTAAGTTGGTATTGCATCAATTTACAAGAGCTTTTTCTTGATATCTGCACTTTTGAATTTGAGTTATGAATAAGTTCTTTTTACTTTGTTATTCTGTGGCTGGGCAGGTGTGGGTAAGAGTTGCCTCCTCTTGCGTTTTTCGGACGGTTCATTTACTACAAGTTTTATCACGACCATTGGGTAGGTGTTCTAATCAAAGTTCAGTGGTCTTTTTTATTATGAATTTTGTTACAAAAGGGTTGTGATAATGAGAGAAAGAGAGGCAGTACTCTCAAAGCTTTTATTAAAAACGCTGTAATATCTTCAAAGAAGACCAGCAGTATTTATACAGAGGATAGCCAAAGCTGGTTGAGCTGAAACAGTTCTAACAGATTCTATAACCGTAGCTCTACCAAACTCCAACAATTGAAACACACAAACTCCTAATAGCTTTCCTAACTGACTTTATAACTAGCTGCATTCATATCTAAACATTACTAAAGGCAAACACTTACCTCTACATACCTCGCCATTCGCCTTGCTTTACCTTGCTTATGCAGCTTCGTTCTTCCGTTCCTTTGTTGATAATGATGTGTTTACTTTGGCAGAATTGACTTTAAGATAAGGACTATAGAGCTCGATGGAAAAAGAATCAAACTGCAAATTTGGGATACTGCTGGGCAAGAGCGGTTTCGAACAATTACAACGGGTTAGCTTCTGACTCTGAATGTGTCATTGATTCGAATTGAATAATATAATCATAATTATAACCTGATCTGATTTATAATATATTTGATAGCATGAGTTAGCATTGATTTGCTTGAGCTTGTTATTTGCAAGTTTCATTGCATGACGTGAAATACCATTGCTCTCACTCTAATATGTCACATTTAATAACATCTCTAATTGCAAGGTTTTTGTTGACCCCATTTTCTTTCAATGTTGTCTTTTAGTCCGTTTGGAAGTTAGGAATATGTATGCTTCCATGTTTTTTTTTATAATGCTTTCAAACCCACTTATAGTTGTACTCCCCAGTTTATGATAGGACTTGGTAACAAAATACTAGCAACAGTTGGTTAGAATTGAAAATCTTTGAGTTCTTTTTATTGTCTTCTAAGGTCTTCTCTACTTCTTGGATGAATCGAGTGATGTTTTCTATTTTTTGCAGCTTACTACCGCGGAGCCATGGGTATTTTGCTTGTCTATGATGTGACTGATGAGTCATCTTTCAATAGTAAGTACTGAACATTTTCATTTCGATTGTCATACGCATGTTGTTTGAACTTATCCACCTTTGCGTCTTTTTTTACTGTTTTTAGTGTTCCTCTTAACTGTCCTCGTTTTTGGATCGTTTCATTTTCTTGCAATGTGGAAACTTGAAACATACTACTTATCCAGTAATCTGAAATTTCTTTCTTTCTCCATTATAGTAATTGAATTAATACCCTTTTCTGCTTAGACATTAGAAATTGGATCCGTAATATTGAACAGCATGCTTCGGATAATGTCAACAAGATTCTGGTTGGTAATAAGGCTGACATGGATGAAAGCAAAAGGGTATGTTTCTCTTCATCTCTCTTCTATATGCACTCATATAGTTTTGTTTGCATGTATTAACGGCTACCCTTCTGTTTGCATATTTCCTGTGGATATTTTTTCTTGTCAAGTTGATTTAGGAACTTATTTTTTCAGGCCGTCCCTACCTCAAAGGGCCAAGCTCTTGCAGATGAATATGGCATCCAGTTCTTTGAAACTGTATGTAAATTTTACTTAAGATGTCATAGTTACTTTTGATATGATTAGTAAATGTCTCCTACATGCTCAAGAGCCACTCTATCATCATGCAGAGTGCAAAAACAAACTTAAACGTTGAGGAGGTTTTCTTTTCTATAGCCAGGGACATTAAGAAAAGACTTGCGGATACCGACTCCAGGCCTGAGGTATGGTTTCTTAAACTTTAACATACTATATTTATGGAAATCCATTTACCGTTGCCAATTGTTTTTTTTTTAATCCGCAGCCACAAACGATCAAAATTAACCAAACCGACCAGGCTGCAGGGGGTCCGGCGGGCACTCAAAAATCAGCTTGCTGCGGAACTTAAACAAACTAAGTTGAGAATTAGATCTGAAGGGTACATTCTCTACTACTGTAGTAGCTGTTTTGGTCTGGGAAAAGAAAAACTAATTTTGTTACAACTTATATTGTTTGTGTTTGTATTTCTCTTCTCTGCATATCATTATTTTTAAATCTGCTAACTCTTTGGTGTGAAATGTTCGATTATATTAGATTAATTTTCCCCAAATAACATGTGTTGGATAGCCAATTTATCTTCCATTTTGATATATTTGAACCAATAGTACGTTTTCGGGACTCCATCCATGGAACTTTGGGAGCAGTGTGTTCCCTAATAAAACTTGCAAGTCATTCTCCGGTGGAGTCAAATTCAAGTCCAACTGCTACATTGCAATTCAACACTGGTACAGTGGAAATGGCGAGAAGCTTTCATTCGAGGCCAGATCTATCTGACTTTTCAAGCGGTTTTGCAAAAATATAAACTTTCAAATATATAAGTGAAATTCAAGGCACATGTACTATGTGTTTTTGGTATATCTAGTTCCTCGATTTAAATTCATCATTTGCTGACCTATTTTTCCAACATATATGTCAGTTCGTGGATATGTATTGGTTTGGCATTTACATCTTGATACTCGTGCAATTGACATCTTTTTTGCACATTCAGTCATGTGATGACGTAACACATATGGCTAATATATGAACATTTAAATATCATACATTTTGTAGTTTTACTTGTCCAGTGGTGAAAGTTGAAAGGAAATATCTTTTTTTTAGGAAATTCAGGTTTAAATAGTTATATTTGTAGGGTGTGTGCCGTCAATAGGCGAAGAAAATTTTTGAACATCTATCTTGTAATTGTTATAGACTATTAAAAAAATATTATATATTTTCTATTATTTTTAGATGCTGAAAGACTAATTAAATTGTAAAAAAAGAAAGGAAAGTCAGTGTATGTCGTAGCATAACATTTTTTTTTAAAAAAAGTCATCAAATTATTTAACAAAATTAATTGAAAAAAATTTACTTTTAGAACTAAAAAATCTAATTATTTCGAACAGAAAAATTAAACAAATTAATTCACAAAGAACGACCATATTCTATAGAATTTGAAATTGTAATTGCAAGGTTAACTGCGGGAAACATACAAGTCGTTTGGGATAAGGGGCAAGTTATCTCATGATAACCGTTATTTAAGTGATTAAAAAATAGTTGTTGTTCTTAAAGTCTCACATACGATCACTAGAGATTATAAAGGTGATTAAGTTTTCATTGTCAAATAATTGAAAATATTTTAAATATATATTACCTTGTAATCACTTTAATTAATAAAAAAAATTTGAGAAACAAAATTACAATTCATAAACATTTAAAAGAGCAAGCCAAGAAGTATAAGAAATCTTAAAGGGAAAAGAAGAATCTCTAATTAATTATTTAAGGAAATCTAAAATTTCCATTTCTATTTATGAAGACGCGAAATTGTATTTAATGATATGATTCATATTTATACAAAATATATGGAATATGACGGCAAAACAAGAATACAAATCCCATTTAATTCGGTCATTCTCAATAATCGACAAAATTATCAGAAAAAATAATAATTTGAAGGGCCTCCTTTTCTACCTGATCTATTTATTCCAAGTCTATCTTTTATAAGAAGTCTTACCACATTAAATTATTGCCATAATGTCTCTTTTTTCTTTTAATATAAATGTGGTCTTCTTCTACACTCGTTATTAATCTTCTTTTTGGTGGCAACATAGGTAGGGCAATTATAAACTGAGAGATAGATGAGTCATGTCTACATCGTTGAATAAAAGCAAGGTTAGTCATACTCTTAAATTATTTATTTTTTCTACTTTTGATTTTAGTAATTTCCTCCATCACTGAATTTTTTTTTTGTAAAAAAAATAATATCTCAATGATCATGAAGTACTCTTTAACATTTTTCATTCTAACTTATATTTTCTTAATTAAACTGAAGTGTTCAAGTAACCCTTTTTCATGATTTCATCATTAAAGATACTGCAATTGAATGACTTGTTGATCATTAACGTTATTCATCAATTAAGAGAGCATCATTTCTAAATCAAACCCTTGACTTTTATCAATTAATGTTGTATTTGTCAAAAATTATTGAGCATTTTTCAGTAATAAAGGAAAATATTGTTTTCTTTAGGGCTTACAGATTTGAATAAATACATATGTAGAGTGTGTATTGTCAAATGAATTTCAGTGGGTATCCGTTTTCATAATTTGAGCCTAATGATATGTTCGGTTTCATTGAAAGGGAAGCAAAAAGTTATTTATCTATGTTTACCAGTAAGGTTTAATAATAAAAAAAAAGCCGATTAGATCGTAACCGTTATTAATTGGGTTCGCATTCTAATACAAAATTCAATGTTTTAGACTTTGGTTGAACTGAAATCCAGGCGACTGTGCTACAACAATGAAGTAGAATCAAAGAGAGAGGATCTGATAGGTGAAATTGTGATGCACCAACAGACAACGAATGTGTTATATCAACTATTGTCCGAGGCCTGCCGTGAAAGAGATGAAGCTAAACAACAGTTGAAGAAATCAATGACCCAAGTCTCTGAATTGAACAAACTCTTACCATCATCCAACATTCCACCACCTCAAACCGACTCCCCCCACAACGTTCCCTCGACTTCCGGTATCGGCATCCGTTCAAAAATGTTGAGAACTTCATTCGTTGAAGATTCCAGCCACGGCCGGGTTTCAATCGAAGAATACTCTTCAATCGGAAAAATAATCGATACCCTGATTAAAGGGAAGCCGTTGCCGGAGAAGGGGAGATTGCTGGAAGCTGTTGTTGATACAGCACCATTGTTGGAGACACTTATGATAACGGGACAGCTTCCCAATTGGCGAAACCCTCCACCATTGCCATTCAATCTGGTTGGCAGTGAAATCCCAGGTTTTCCAAGCATTGAACCATATGAAATGCAGGGGTCTAAATGACTGTAACTTTAGGTAAACAATCTGTGAATGGTTTGGTTTATACTGTTAATATAATTATTTATCGAGTTAAATAGAGGAATATGAATAAGATTTCAACCTTCCTTTAGTGAAGGAATAGTATGAGTATGTTCAGTTCATCAAATGAACATATTTATTTGTATCATTTACGTCTCGTTTGATCATTTATTTATTGTTTGAGCGTTATATAATTAATAATACTTGTATTTTTAAATATGATTATTATTATTTTAATTATTTTATTCTTAAAAAGAACTGTTCATAATTAATAAATTTTTTATTTATTATTAATAGACGAATTAAATATTCATTGTGATGATCTATCATTGATCTGGATTTTCAACTAATCCTCTCATCTTTTATCACCAATATTTTTCATTTTCTCATTAATTGGTGACTCCCCTCCCTTTAAACAAGGGTTAAGTTTCTTAATCTGAAAAATTAATTCGACTTGATTTGCTTGCAACATGTCATTATTGGACTACCCTTTCTATTGGCCTTTATTTAGCCACAGAATAGAAACTACACAGAAAAACCTTTGATGCCTCGGTTGAGTTCAAATTGTAGGTTGCCTTTAACAGCTGTCGCAACCATGTTCAGCAGAGAAGCTTATAATCCTTTATTTGACATCCAAAAGGCTACAAATGCTCACATTCATATATTGAACGGTTCATCGAGCTCGTTTTCGGATGCTTGTAAGTTGTTCGACGAAATGTCTGACTTAGGTGTAGTTTCAGCCACATCCATAATTGGAACATTCTCTAAGAAAAAGCAACATAAAGAAGCCATATATTTGTTTACCAGGATGCTTTCTAACAATATTAGACCCACTGAGTTCACGTTTGGGACGGTGATGCACTCTTCCACTTTGTTAAAGGACCTCAATATCGGGAAGCAACTTCACGCCTGTGCAATCAAAAGGGGCCTTAATTTCAATGTTTTTGTGGGTAGTGCAAGTTTAGATCTTTATTCAAAGTTGAGTACAATAGAGGAAGCTAGCAGGGTTTTCGAAGATACCCATCAACCCAATGTTGTATCTTACACAACTTTGATATCTGGATACTTGAAGAATGAGAGATTTGAGGATGCTTTATGGCTGTTTAAAGTGATGCCCGAGAGAAATGTTGTTTCTTGGAATGCAATGATTTCTGGGTTTAGCCAAACTGGTCGTAATGAAGAGGCTGTAAATATTTTCATTCAGATGTTGAGAGAAGGGGTGATGCCTAGTGAACCCACTTTCCCTTGTGTTATTATTGCAGCAGCTAATATAGCCGCTCTTGGGAAGGGAAAAAGTTTTCATGCTTATGCTTTTAAGTCTTTGGGAGATCAACTTAATGTGTTTATAGGCAATGCTCTTATTAGTTTCTATGCCAAATGTGGAAGTATGGATGATAGTCTCTTGGTTTTCGATAAACTTCACGGAAGAAATGTTGTTTCTTGGAATGCTTTGATATGTGGTTATGCGCAGAATGGAAGAGGGAAGGAAGCCATTGAATTATTCGAAAGGATGCTAGTAAGTGGCTTTAGGCCTACTTATGTTACAATTCTTGGTTTATTATGGGCTTGTAATCATGCTGGTCTTGTTACTGAGGGTTATTCGTATTTCAACAAGGTAAGGCTTAAGGAATCCAGCTTGCTTAAACCAGAGCATTATGCTTGTATGGTGGATATACTCGCTCGGTCCGGGCGGTTCAAGGAAGCTGAGGAGTTTATTCACCAATTGCCTTTTGAACCAGGTATTGGTTTTTGGAAAGCACTGCTTGGAGGTTGCCAAATTCACTCAAATAGGGAACTTGGCGAATTTGCAGCAAGGAAAATCATGGCATTGGACCCTGGGGATGTTTCATCATATATAATGCTGTCCAATGCATATTCTGCCGCTGGCAGATGGGAAATTGCATCGACGGTGAGGAGAGAGATAAAAGAGAAACAGATGAAAAGAATTCCAGGCTGCAGTTGGATCGAAATAAGAAACAAAGTTCACGTTTTCCTGAATAAGGATTGCAAACACTGCCAAATAGATGAAATCTACAGCGCCTTGAGAATTTGTATCCAACATTCACTGGACAGTGAAGTTGCCAGCATTCTAATGGAGTTTAACATCTAGTCGGTAGAAAAGAAAAATGGCATTGGACTTCTGCACTGCTCTTGTTGATACAGGTAACAGCTTCTTTTCCTCTGAATCCTCATTCGAAAACGAACATATATTGAGAATGACCGATGGGGTGAGTTAGATTTAAGAGATTCAACGGAATATGAGACCAAGTACATATTTATTCGAACCTTTGGTTGTTTCAAATTCAGTGTTGCTGCTAATATCAAGACAAAAGTTTGATATCCCTGCAAGCAGGCTTGAAGAAGAAATATTACAGCAAACTCTAATCTGCTGCCCTCTATATATTTATTGCCTTCCTTCTCTGATATTGCTTTCCAATAAAGGCATCCACATCAACAAGCCCCATAGCATTGCCCTGTATCGGAACTAGGATCTCTAGTAGGCTCTAAGGAGAGAGATCAACCAAGTCCAATTTGAGTTATAGAATCAACTGGTTCTGATTGCTTTGAGAGTATTAGTGCCGACCTTCATGGCAATTTATGGGCTGTTTTAGCTTCATTACTTGTATGTTTTAGCATCCATTTGGATTAGAACAGATACAGTCGTTTTAAATTTTCTAGGTTTTTGATCAGATTCTAGTACTAAGGGACGTTAAAGCTATGGAATCATAAGCTCTCCTTCAACATCTGAGTGAATGGGTTCTCTTGATTGTTTACATCTATGTTATAATGCACAACTCTTATAAAATGTTAGTTGAATTATGCTGCATGAAACATTCCATTTTTTATTTCGCATTGCTTGTTATTCTATCTATTCTGTTTAATCCTTTAGTTATGTTTATATTTTTAGGCCTTTGAATGCAACTTCAAGTATTAAAACTCGAAACCGAGGCATATGAAGAGGGAACAATGCTTCTTTCTATTGATGATGATGGTGATCAAGTATCTGTTCGGTATGTCAAGGACAAAGGGATAGCAATGACCAAATGGAATTTGGAGTCTGTGTTCATAATTCATGTCTTGATTGATTCTGGAATCAATGGAGCTGACCTTGATACCTTCTCAGCCACATGGCATTGTCCAGAATGTCATGTGAATCAGATAGTATTTGAAGAACTCGAGAAAATAAATATCATAATCTAAATTCTTGGTCAAGGACTGAAAGGAGGCTGATTTTCAACACGATCAATTCAAAGCTACTGAAAATCTATCAGCAACTGATGCACCAATGCCCATGGATAAAGCCTGCAAGAAAAATTACCTCAAAGTGGAACATACAAGAGCTCGAAGATAGCCTGCACAAATCTCTGGTAAATATATAGATTGGAATATGATCATTTCAAGACTGTATATATAAGTTCTAGATTTTTACACCGGCAAGAATCATCAAAAGGTATCAATATCAAGCTACCCTTTTCACCATTCTGGTTGAATCTTGAATCCGATGAATTGCAGCAAGTTATCATGTAAATATAAAGTTGTAAGCTACTTTGTTATCAGAGTCGAGTTCCATGACAAACTAAATTACCATTTTCAGAATAAAAAATAGTCTAATTTGCTTAGATTTCTTGTTCAAAGAAGTAATTAACAATGCTACTTTGTTATCATTTTATTGGTTGAGGCAACAGCCGATGTCCAAAATTGTGCAGTCTTAACCCTGGAAACACTGGCCAACACTTGTGATGGTGTCACATCTCCAACAATTGTCACCTTCTTTGCTGCAGAGTCGATGCTGAAGGATGTCACACCTATTCAAAACATACAAAAATGGTTGTAATTTTGGTTTGATGGAGATGACCATGTATCTGTTAAGCATATATACATACATACCTTCCATTCTTGATAAATGTTTCCTCACTTTTCCCTCACAACCTTTGCAGTGCAATGACACCTTTAGAACCACTACCTGAGACCAAATTTATTGAAAACTTAACTGCAAATTTGATACTTCAATAACAATAGTGAAATGGAAGAGTAGGGAAACCTGGTGTTGATCTTGTTGTACAGATTGAATCTGCTTATCACCGGTATCTGCATCTTTAATGTCAGAACAACTGCTTTTCCTTGTAATTGCATCGGTTGGCTTCAACGAACTGTTCTTCTTGATGAGATCATTGGAGTTGGCTGAAACTTCATTATTGGAAGACCTTTTCTCATTGTTCTTCAGCTGATGGTAAGGCAAAGGATTGAATGGCGGTGGCTGAGAGGTACAAAGGTTTGAAGGAAGGGTTTTACCGAACCTTTTGGAGTCTCTAATGGTAGTGGTTTGAAGGGAGGATGCTGAGGCTTGGTCCCTGCTTGAACGTACGGCTGTTGAAGCTTGGGATGCACATAAAATGTTCATTCCTTTCATCTCTTTTTTGAGGTTTGTAGATAGATAAGATAACCAGTGGCTTATACACAGCAACTCCCAACTGATTTCTGCTTTTATGTTCAACCTCTTGATCCATGAAAAAAGCCGTTGAGTTTTCAAACTTTTTCCTTTTTTAAAAAATCATTATATATATATTGACAAGAACAGAGTTAATTAAATGCTTCAGGTGGGGGATGGCCTACCTGTTTGTATGTGAATCATATGAGACAGAGCAACGGCTAAATTATCAACCCCCAGCTCGCTATACAATGCTACATTTTTTTTCATTACCAAGGATACCGGACATCATGCAAGTTGTACTTAATAGTGTAGAAAGTGAATTAAAATGATGAGAAATTAAAAGATAAAAATATATATAAAAAAAATTAAAATTTATTTTTAATATATTTGGTAAGAAGGATGTTTTTTTTCCAGTTACGTATTAATAGAATTACAAATAGAATAGAATAGAATAAATAAAAATACATTTTAATTAATTCACATTCTCTCTTTTTGAAATAATTTATTGAATAAATTATATCTATTATCACTCAATTATTGTTAATTTTTATTTTGATCACCGATCTTTTAATTTGTCAAGCAGACCATCTAACTATTTAGTTATTGCCAATCAATTCACCTGTCATTAATATTTAATGAAGGAGTTGATGTGCTTGTTAAAAAAATAGTATAATTATACATTTAATCCTCAATATTTACACACATTATCAATTTTGTCATGATTTTAGTTCAGTTTAATAAATTTAATCACCAATTAGATGGTAATACGTGTCACAACATGATTGGAGGAAACTTTCTTAATTTTAATTTGTTTAATTTAATTCAGTTTAACTTGCTTAAAACTTTTTATTTATCCTCACCATCTTTACACAACTACTTACATAATAGGGGACACAATATTCCTAGTGCTCAACAAAATTTATGAATTATCCAAACTAGAGCACAATGTCATCACTTTCCTGCAACGTTTAGTCTTGTTCTTTACGCACATAGTACTCATTACCATTTTCTTTAACTTTCTAACACGATCATGCCTTATCAATTAACACATGGGATCAAAATATCACATGCTATCATACATTAATTCATCATCATGAACCTTACGTTATAATCTACAAATCATATTATATCAAGCACTCCAAGACCCAAATTAACACAACTTGGATAGGGGAAAAAATGAATGATACAAGACAATTATACATACCACTAAAAACACTAACATAAATAAACTATTACTCTATTTATTGTCTTGAACTTCTCGATCGATAACAACGTATGGAAATAAACCACGTGTTCAATTTGAAATTCAGTGGTGCGTTTAATACAAGTAATAACAATAGAAAAAATAGATGCATGCAATCAAAACATCATGTTTGAACCATCAAAGAAATCTAGAGGCAAACACAATCTTATTTCTTCTTTCTTTATGAACATAGTAATGGTTTCAATCATATTAAAGCATTGTTTCTTCTCATTAGTCCTAATTATCGTCGAGTTTTGTTTAATGATTCTCGCATATATGAACATCAATTATTGAATATATTTCATTACACTAAATATTAATGAGAACCAATTTGATGTAGAAGATCTAATGATAATTTGTGTTTTATTGTTACTCAAATGCAAGGCTTGTTCAACTAAAAATAAACTCAACGAATAATAGTAGATTCAAACTGACGAGAGACACGTTGAAACCCAGAGGCTTCAGGACCTTTATTTTGCCATACATTTTTATTATTGAAGAAATTTTTTCTAAATATTAACAAATCATTTGATAGGAGAAAAAAACCCTAATTATTATTAAGAACTACACAATGTAGATGCGAACAATGGGAGCTGATTATCATAAAAGGAAAGAACATATCTTGTTATAGAGGAGCTGAAACTGCTAATTTTTTCAGGTAACATAGATCACGGATGATAATAATAATAATAATGAAATGAATTGACAAAACACACCTGTCGTTCGCACTATACATACTTGTTGCATTATTTCTTCATTTTGCATTTAAGCTCCTTTCCCTTCACCTTCGTTCAAAATGCGGTTCCGGAAATCATTCACCATAAGGGGCAACCCTTCCCTCAGGGGGATTTTTGGCTCCCAGTTCAGCAGCTCCTTTGCTTTGCTGATATCCGGTTTCCTCATATGTGGATCATCTGCAGTATTCGGTTTATATTCTATCGTTGCACTTGGATCGATTGTGTCTTTGACAACCTGATAGGTTAGGAGGAAAATGAATTTCAGAAGGCCCTCCATTAATGCTAAGATTAGTCAACATAAAACATATTGGGTGCGGAAGGACAAACCTCGGCCAATTCAAGCATAGTGAACTCTCCCGGGTTGCCCAGATTAAAAGGTCCTATGTGCTCACCTTCCATTAAAGCAACAAGTCCATCCACCTGTAATTCATGAAGAGTATGAAATCCTTTTCAATTGTATGGCACTTTATCTTCTTAACTTCGAAACTGTCTCACTTCTAAGTTCTAACCATTGAAATAAATGAAATTATACACGGCTAGTTTTACTTCCTCGCTCTATTCCCAGTGAGAAAAATCATCTAAGTTTTTTCCACTTCACACTTCTCCAGTATTCACAATTGGAATACCAATACAAGTCACCTAGAAAAAAAAGCACCATATCGAGAGCAGTTATGATAATAAACATGCAGACATACCAAATCAGAAACGTATTGGAAGCTACGTGTTTGTTTCCCATCACCATAAACAGTCATTGGCTGCTTTCGAATGGCCTGTAATATAAAGCTACAAAAATTAGAAAATGTTGTATGATCCAAATCTCAATTGAATTCTACATACGATGCCAGAAAATGATTCATAGGATCATTCAACCTGAGCAACGAAATTGCTAACGACACGTCCATCATCCAAGCACATTCGAGGACCATAAGTGTTGAAAATACGAGCAATTCGCACCTGTACACAGAAAGTATCATCATCTGACCATCACAGGTAGCCTCTATTGTAACATAGGCCTTTTTCTAATCTCCCTTCCACATAAATTTTTAATAATATTCACAATTAACCCTTCACAAATTCTTTCATCCTCATCGAGTATCAAAGGCGACAATGCTCCAAGTAATAACACATTAACACTAGATCATTCTAGAGAACTGATACATGCTAAATCATAACAGGATAGTCAATGCAACAGGAATATTTAATGCGGATATTGCCATAAATATTACAAGATTGTAGTTTCTAGTGCAGCTTCCGAATACAATATTTTATGTAAATTACTCGAGCATTCCAAAATTGTTCAAGTAAATATACAAAAAAAAAAAACGTACCTCCACACCCGCACCTCGATGATAATCCATGGTTAAGGTTTCGGCAGTTCTTTTTCCTTCGTCATAGCAACTCCTCTCCCCTAATCACATTAACGGAAAGATAACATTTTGCAAGGTAAAACCAAAGAATATTCATCAGCCAAAACAAACTGATGTTGCATCGTATAAGCTCCTTACCAATTGGATTCACATTTCCCCAATAGGTTTCTTTCTGGGGATGCTGAAGGGGATCGCCATAAACCTCACTCGTGCTACTAAGCAAAAACCTGGCCCCAACTCTCTTTGCAAGCCCCAACATATTAAGAGTGCCCATCACATTTGTCTTGTAATCTCACTAAGTTAAGGATCTCAAATAAACACAATTCAATAAAAAAAGCAACTCATTAAATCAAACAGTTTTGATGAACATAGAAACGTAAAGAAGAATACCAAATACAAAAGAGAAATTGGCATTAAATTATAGGAAAGGATATGATGGTCTTGACCGGATTGTATTTATAATGAACCGGAGAAGCAGGGCAAGCTAAGTGATAGATCTGATCCACTTCCAAGAGAATCGATTCAACAACGTCGTGTCGGATGAGTTCGAACCTCGGGTTCCGGAAAAGATGAACCACGTTTTCTTTCCTCCCGGTGAAGAAATTATCTATAACAATCACTTGATCGCCTCTTCCAATAAGCTTATCAGCGAGATGGCTCCCAACGAAGCCAGCCCCACCGGTGACTACGATCCTCATTCTCCGCCGGCCGATCCCAACGGGGACCCGACCCACCTTGCCGTGAACCGGCTTTGTAGAAACGGAGAAGTCTTGGGTGTGGGAAATGACGTCATCTTTGGAGAAAGATCTGGGGATGGAAGGGCGGGTCTCGGATGGGGCTAAACGAGAGAGAGTCGGCTGGAGGATGAAGAAAGTGGAGCCGATTAAAATGCCGATAAAGATAAACAAAAGCCGTTGTTCCTTGAAGAGATAGTTAATGGATCTAGGGAGAGATCTGGGGTATTTCAAGTTTTTGGGCGAGTAAGGAGGCGCTTGGGGTATTGACATTTCCTCATCTCGCCTATGGTTCACGCTTGATTGCTTATGTAACTGTTTCATGGCTTCAAATTTCTGGGTTTTTTCTTTTTCTTTTCTGCGTGGGAATTCTCGAAATAGTAAATGGTTTGTTTTTCCCTTCTCAGCTAGAGAGTTTCTCTTGGTGCTTTCGTGGGATCTATTTGATGGGGTTGAAGAACTGAAGCTGCAGTTCACAGAGGATAAACTGAAAATAGTTTCAATTCATTGTTATTAGCCAAAACAAATGAAATTATAAATTTAGTTACTAAACGCTTTTATCATTCTTATTTTACTGGCTGTATTTTAATTTTTTTTAATTTAATAACTATACTCTATACATTATTTCCTTTGTTACTAGATCGTTTTTTTCCACTAAAAGCTTCATTACGTAACTTAGTTTAAGATTCTCTCTTTTCTTTTCCCTCGATTGGGAAACTTGGACCAAAACGTGTGCTTCCATGTAGTATGGTTCAAGGCTAGTTATGGAACAGGCTTGTGAACTAGGGACAAAGTGAGGGATCTTCATCGACTCGATAAAGAGTTTCAATGGATGGACCGGTTCTTTAACTAGGTCATTTTCTTAGTGAATCGGCTCTACGCTCTGCGTATCGCAACATTAGCAACCCGTGTGAAGGAACCTTTGAACCAGATGGTCAAAGAGCTTTTGCAGGAACCCTTCAGTTTAAAGCACTGCAAAAAAGAAATCTAAAAGAGCAATCAAAATCTAATAATAAACAAATCAATGAATAAACTAAGAGAAAAAACAAGGAAGAAAGAAGATTCATTACCTTCAACTTCTTTGCCATTGCTAGCAAGAGCAGATTGAGCATGTTATATTGATAAAAGGTAGTCCTATGATCACCATCTTCAAAAATAAAAAGTACACAATGCGAGTCATCATAGATCGACCTACTGAGGCAATGACCATGCAAGTGCTTATTGAATAAGTCCTCGTGTTAGGAGTCTTTGTCGATGGAAGGGCTGTGCTTCTTTGCTCGTTAGGCTTTCGCGTTAGTCATGAATCCTTAGCTTGGTTCCCGACTTTGAATTCGAAATAAACCTTAGCTTAGCCAACTTTAACCATTTTGCCCATTTTGGCCTTCACTCAAAACGATCGGTTACCTTCACCTTCCTTAACCAACTTCTTATTCAATCCATTCTTTCCAATCTCTCTCTCCTCGCCAGCTTTGAGGATTGGGTTAACTGGGTCGTCTTCCGGGATGCCCATCCCGTTTTCTTCTATGTTGTTGGCTGTTGGCAACTCAAAGTCATCTTCCATGGTGTTTTCGCTGGAGTTAGCGATTTTTAAGAAGGCTAATGGGTAATCATGGAAGAATGGATTGAAGAAGAAGACGAGAATTAGATTCCGAACAAGACAAGAACAGGAAATGGAAATTGTTTCTGATTCCGTACCTGAATCTTTGGGATTCCACGAACAATCGTCGTGGGTTGAAAGAGGAAAAGAAATAGCATCGTCAAGTATAGAACGTAAAGCCAACCACGTTGAAAGAGGATTGTGCTCACCATTAGGGATGGCAAAAAACTCGAATCCGATGGGAAAAACCGAAAATCGAATTAAACGAGTCGGGTTCGGGATGATAAACGGGGACGGAGACGGGGAAACCCATTTATTTTAAACGGGGACGGGGGACGGGGACGGGTTTGGTAATCCCCGCCCCGATTACCCGATTACCCGCCCCGATTACTCGCCCCGATACCCGCCCGATAAATATTAAAAATAATTATATATATATATATATATAATATTAATAAATTTAATTTAAATAAAAAATATATATTTATATATTTAATTTAAATATATATATATATATATACCCGGCCCGATTCTCAGCCCAATACCCGGCCCAATACCCGTTTAAATAACCGTTTATGCTAAACGGGGATACCCGTTTCCCCACGGTTTTCCCCGATTACCCGACGGGGATCCCCGTTTAAATCCCCGCGATTTTTTAAACAGGGACGAGTACCGATTTTTTAAATGGGGACGGAGACGGGGGACCAATACCCGGCCCGAACCCGGCCCGTTGCCATCCCTACTCACCATGCCCATTTCTGAGATTTATGTGGCCTAGGCCAAATAAAATAGTAACATCTTTATTTTATTTTGGCCATTCAACTATTTAAAAAAATATATCTAACGTTATATTTTAGTCACAAATTGTTAAAAAATTAACAAAATATAATTTTTAAATATTTCAATGATGATGTGGTATTATCTTGTTGTGACATGTTATCATCACCGTTAAAAAATTAACGATGAGTGACCAAAATGAAGTAAAAAACTAAATGTTAGGCATGATTTTAAAAAAAATAGTTGGTTGACAAAAACAGAATAAAAGTTATTGTCGAGACACTAAACATGTAGTTTACCCATTTTTCAATCTTGCATCAGGCTCAACGACGCCCTGATGCTAATTGGATAGAGAAAGAGAGAGAAAAGAAGAGGATGAAGAATAATAAAGGAGTGAATGAGAAAAAAAAAAGTTTTTTATAAGGGATCAAAACGTAATTTTAGTGTAGGTTGTCATGTCATAATATTATTAATTATTTAATGGTAGAGTGATTAAAATAGAAATAAATCAAAAGTTGAATGATTAAATTGAAAATTTTAAACTTTAATGATTAAAATAGGAGTGAGAAAAAAAATTAAATGAGAAAAAAAGTAATTTACCCAGAGATTAAATGATAATTTTGTTTATTTTCGAAGTATTAATGATTGAGAAATGTAATTTTGAGTGATGAAATGTAATTTTAGATTGGATGCCGATGAACATGCCCTAAAGTTCGGCCCGCAGTGCATTTGTAATCCCGGTGGCTTTATTGTAGCCGAGTACCCAGTTGCCATCACAATCCCTAATCACACCTCCAACTGCACTTTCATTCGAGCCCACGGAGACGGCTCCATCCATGTTGAGGCAGAATCAGTCTTGTGATTGCTTCTCCCACCGAACAATCCTAGTTGGATCGAAGAGGGACGGGTAGAGCAATCGTCCCTGAAAATTTTAAACTAATATATTTAAAACTTATACAACATTATTGTTAAACCGTTAATATATCAAACATCTATTGACGATCTATTAATCTTAATTCAAAATAATTTAATAAATCCTTAATATTAAAAAATCTTATCGAATTGACCATTTATTGACGATGCAATGAGATATGTTTTATTTTTAGGTTGTAAGGGTTCTAATGGTGATGTCCGGAAAGAAGCCTGTTGGGACAATGACATACCTCGGACCCTCAGCGGATTGTCAAAAGTAGAAGAGGGTATCTTCAGTAGATGTTGATGGATGAATAAACACTCTTTTGCCTGTTAATTTTATTGCCATGTTACTCAACTCTTGCATGGTTACTAATATATGAACATGTTTGGGATGTAAACAAGATATTCTTCCTCACAAACCAGTCGAGTTTGAATAGAAAAAGTTCGAATTTGATTCAATCATTGTGGAGTTTGACTTCGAGCATCCTCATGCTTTAATTGAGTATTTTTTTTTCCGATCGTTGAAAATTTTTTAGTTATCATTTTGTTATGATATATAGTGCGAATCGGCCTCTCTGCATTGAAGTTGTTGAACTTCATAATTTTAACGAGCTTCCACATTTTAAGTAGCTCGTGAGCATGGTGTATTATCGGCTGCAAGCATCATTTATTTTTTTTAACGTCATTAGCTAAAAAAAAAAGGACGAAACGAGACTTCAAGAAGCACATTTGATAAAAAAAAGTATTGAGGACTGATATGGAAATTATGGTATACTTTAGAGGTCATTTTATTTATCAAGCCTAAAGCTTTAACCAATATAGAATGTCTTTTAATTTTGAGTAAATTAGAGTTTGTCGTTTTTGTTTCAATTTTCTAAACGTATGGTCACTAAATTCAAAAAACATAATTGGTAGTCACTCTTGTTTTATTTTAATTAAGATGTGCTCACTGAAACGTTAATTTTCATTAATTTGATGACATAGCACGTTAGTAAAATGGTTTACTTTTTACTTTAACCCTTAAATTTTATATAAAATACTAATTAGAGACTATTTTATAAATTCAAAGTAATTTAGGGACAAAGTTCTGATTTACCCTTTTTAATATACTTTTCTTCTTCCCCAACTTGCGCCGCCGCACAGACTCGATTTATCTTCAACACAACATTCCTTCTTCTTCGCTAAACGACATCGCGAGTTCCCTCTTTTCCATTCATCGACGAAATGCCCTTGTTCATATTCTCTTTTCTTCCTTAACACCCCATTGACAAGGAGAAAAATACAAGTTGACTTTTCCTCTTTCTTTTGTTTTGTTTTTGTTTTGCTTAACTAAGAACACGATTTATTTGAACGAAAATAGAGGCTGGGAAAAATGGAACAAGGGTTGCTTGATGATATCATACATCGGCTTTTGGAAGTTCGGGGTCGACCGGGGAAACAAGTGCAGCTATCGGAATCGGAGATCCGACACATTTGTGCGGCTTCTAAAGTGATTTTCTTACAACAGCCAAATTTATTGGAACTTGAAGCACCCATCGAGATTTGTGGTATTGTTCACGACTTTTTTAGATGCCCAGATTTTTCTTTTCGATTTTTTCAGAGCGGCTAAGAGCAGGCCGTCGGAACGGAAGGAAAGAGAAAAAATTGTAACACCCGGAGCCCGACCTGAAATATCGAACGGTTTAAGGTAGTCTCACCTTTGGATCACCAGAGTGACTTTTGACTTAAAATTTTCAAGTTAAAACATTTTAAAAAAATAAATAGAACTATAGTTTGGAATATTACTAGTATATATAAAACAAATCAGGTGTGAAACAGTTTTACAAAATGTGAAGCTCCAAGCATAACAAATATCAAAATAAACCAACAGTGAAATCAAGAGTTACAGATTAATCATACAGGTCTTGTGAAATACATGCCCTCTAAAAGTAAGAACTGTACTCTAAAAAGCTGGTTGTTGAAACTCTGATTAGTTGTCGACGCCCCAACTCTACTCGATATTTAACATGAGGAAAATAATTTGAAGACTGAGCTTTGCAAGCTCAGTAATACACAACTATTTAATTAAAGCTACATGCAAGAAGTAACGCAAGCTGATTAACCGTAAATATGGTATGAAGTATTTACAACCTATGTCACACTTTAGAGAGCAGTAACAGTCCCAAAATGATCTCACCTCTAAGCTTGTTAATAACACTAACAAAGTGGATTTAGTGAGCACTAGACCCTAATCAAATATCACA